CCCTCCAGCCCAATTCAAGAATAAACATGTGGAAAGTTACTTCTTCAAAAACAAAAGTATCTCATATCATCTCTTCTCAATTTGCTTCTCCTTGTCCTTGTTGCTGTTTACGACACAATGAGAAGAAGAATAATCAACCGGAAGCCGAAGTCGAACCTCCGATCCAGGTTGCTTGCTTGGAAGTCTGATTGCTTACCTTGTCTGTTACCTCTTTCGGCAAATCTCATAGCTCGGCGACTTGAGGGACTTCTACTATAGGGTTTGTATCGCACTTGACCAAGCCCGAAACTACAAGTAAGCTTCAAGTGAAATTGATACATTACCTTGTGCATTTTTATCGATTAAAGATATCACCCCTGGATGGAGGAAAAGTACTTTCAGAGAAGATGCCACATCTATATATAAGATAGATAAGGCAAGTGAAAATGATACCACACTTCGGTACTTAGAAGTTTCGTGATTACTCAATGGCTTGGATCTTGCAAGTCCTCAACCGATGAGTTTCCCTCACTCGGGAACTTAAGGGAGCATTGTTTGTACCATACTTGACCAATCTCAAAACTACTGAGCACCGGTCAACGTTATACCATCAAGGACCCAGAAGAGTTTCCCTCCAACCAGGAGGCCAATCACAGTGCGACTCGTGTAAACATCAACAACCAATCATAGCACGACACGTGTCAACATCAAAAGCCAATCACAACACGACAGATGTCAATGTTAGAATGAAACTAGAAACTCTCTTCTATAAATAGAGATCATTCTCTCACAATATTTCATAATGTCATTTGTACTAAATCATTCACTTGTACTCACTAAAGGAGAGCTTGAACCTGTGTACTTGTGTAAACCCTTCATAATTAATGAGAACTCTTCTACTCCGTGGACGTAGCCAATCTGGGTGAACCACGTACACCTTATGTTTGCTTCCCTGTCTCTATCCATTTACATACTTATCCACACTAGTGACCGGACCGGAGCAATCTTGCGAAAGTTACAAACTTAACACTTTATGTTGTACCAAAGTCCTCACTGATTTTGTGCATCAACAAAGTTCAAAATACACCCTCCAATTCACACGAAAGTATCAAAAGACCACAATTTTAACAACTAATGGATCAAGGTGTTCTTCCAAAAACACTAAAGATCTTTCCAAAACACTAAACATCTATCGGAAAGTTGTTTCCAAAAAAACTAAGGGCATATTCAATAATAGGAGCATTTTTATGCGACTTAATTGGCTTGTTCTCGTACGTTTACGTTGTGTTTCTTTAGTTATTTTAGTGTTTAAAGTCACTTTTATGTGTTTTCAGGTTTTAAGGACAAAGTATGCATACATGTGCATTTTGGAGTCGTTTGGAGCAGTTTTTGTGCATCAAATGGATTGCATATGCTTTGAGGTAAGAAGATGGACGAAATTGAAGATCAAATGTGCTTAGGATTGAATGATGATGTGAAGAATTTGATTCAAGACAAATAAAGAACGAAGTGTTCAAAAATAAGCAACCAGCCGTGTGCTCCACCCTTGCCATTACTCTTCCTTGCCGTGCAAGGAAGAGTCATTCTTTCCTAAATCTTGCATTTAAACACTTTCCTAATCTACTTTAAAGCCTTGCCACACCTTTTAGCTTATTTCCTTTAAATTTCTGATTTGTTTCCCTAAATTGTAGAAGCTTTAGACTTAATTTCTGTTTACCTAGTTAACCTAGGGTTTTATTTCCTTTATCCCTTTAAATAAACCCCTTGTTGCAGCAAACACATGGCAAAGAAAAGAATGTTGCAGCACACACATGGGAGCACACGGCATGGCAGAAATTATGGTGTGTTTTGTGGTGAAATGATGAAGCATGTGTGTGTTTTGTGGTTGAAATGATGCAAAGAACATGTGTGTGTGCAAGTGTAATGGTAAAGCAAAGAACATGGCAGCAAACACATGGCAAAGAAAGCAAACACATGGAAAGAAAAGAACATGGCAGCAGCAAGCACATGAAGCACACGGCATGGGCAGAAATTGTGGGTGTTTTGTGATTGAAATGATGAAGCATGTGTGTGTAAATGTAAAGGGGAAACATGAAAACTCACACCCACACAAGATGCACATGCAAAGGAAATGGAGTGGTCTCTCTCAAGCCTATAAATACCACCTCCCATATTCATCAACAAAAATAGATTTTATCCTTGCTCATTGCCGTGAGTTTTCCACCACCATTCTCTCCAAATTTAGCCAAAAATCACCCCTAGCCACACCACCCATCAACCCTAAACATTTCCATACCATTCCCCATCCATTCTACACCATAAAAACCACCCAAAACCTATCCAAAACCTCTAGTGCCGCAGCTTGCAAGGAAGGAAAAAGAAGAAGAAACCTGGTGCCGTGCCTAAGCCCAAGCCTTGGGAGTGTTGGAGCGTTTCTAGGTGTTTTCTGTCTTTGTTTTTAATGTCTAAATTTATGCATCTTTGCTTTGTGAGTATGAGGAACTAAACCCCTCTTAGTTAGGGGGTGATTCGAAACTATGCTCATGCTTGCAATATGATTTGATTACATCCAGTTGTGATTCATAAGTTGTGAATTCAATTTACTTATCCGTTCGTATAAAAACTGATTTGTGTATGTTGGTTGAGAGTGCACGCTTAATTTTCATGCATGAATTTGACGCTAGAATATAAGGGAGTTTCACCTAATCGTTATGAACTTATATTCACAAGTAGTGAAGGTTGCTAGTCACAATCACGTTAAGTAAATTCTTGGCATAAGTTTCATGCAAATCATAGTAACGAGTGCCTCGTCAATGCTTATGTTTTTCATAGAACTTAATGATTCTTGCTTGTATCTCTATTATGCAATTCATGTAAGGAACTTGTAGGGAATGTTTCGGGTTGTCGTATGCAATCATCCAACCCAATAACTTGTGGAAAAACTGAGGGTTAATTAGTGCAATTCACGGTTAATTTGGGGCATTGAGTATTCATAGTTTATTGAAAAGCAACTGGAAATCGTTTTGTATGCAAGTGTGACATGTGTGGAGAAGAACCTCCTAGCTAGCATTCCATCCATAAGTTTCATTCAAATTCATTTACAATTTGTTTTGTTTTACAAAGTTTGTTTTGTTTTCAAATTCGTCAAGAACCAATCTCCCATTTATTTCAAAGTGTTAGATTACTTAGTAATCACTTTAGTTTGTGTTTTTAAGAGTTTTGATTCACCCAAATTTGTCTAAGACTCTGTTTACTTTGTTCTTGTCTTAATTTAATTATTTTCGTCCAAAATCAACCCCATCTTATTTCTTTGAGTCATATTAATTAGAACTTGTCTTAGATTATGTTTTTAAGTGTTTTAGTTCATTGGAAAACCAAAATTCGTCCAAGTTTGTGTTAGAGTTCCAAAACTGCCCAGAAAGTGTTTTTAAGGCAGTTTTGAGTCTTTGGTTGCTGTTTTGAATCTTTTTGTTTATCTTAGTATTTTAAAGTATAGTTTTGCATTCTTTGAGTCTAGTTTAGTGTTTTAAACTTTGTTTTTACGTTTTCAAGTCAGTTTCCAAGTGATTTAGCAATCCCTCCTAATCCCCGGCCTAGAACGATCCCTACTTACATACTTTACTACATTTGATAAAAAGAGGGTTTAATTTGTGTGCTTATATATTTCGCATCATTCAACTATAACAAAATAAACCCTTAAACAACCTAAAACATTGAAGCAACATCATGGAACATTCCTCCTCCTTTTCTGACCTCTTACAGTAGACTTTGGAGTGGTTTGAGAGGCTTGAGTTGGCTGAGATGAAGGTTATGGAGCTTCCTGAGTGCATGGATGTGATGATTGAGAAGGTTGTGATGCCTTAGATGTGGATGCCTAAGTAATGAACCCATATAGCATTGGCACTGACAGATAATACACTTCACAAATAACAAATTCACTTAAGAAATGAAAAATCAACAAAAAATATCAAAATTATATCTCATTTTTCTTGCTTTTTCTTCCTTTTCTAGCAGCTGGAGGAGGATGAGTGGTTGGGCATTTGGCCTTGTTGTGTCCTGAGGCCTTGCAAACACTACACTTTACACTTTTTTGCCCTCTCTTGCTGAACTTGAATTCATTTTAATCACCCTCCTTATGTCTCATCTTTTTTGGTCTCCCAGGCTGCCTTTTAAAAGTTGGAGGAAGAATGCATTTGTTTTCAAATGGCTCCCAAAATTTCATGCCTTGGACATGTTGAATCAAGTTTTCGTAAGTTTCAAAGTACTTCTCCTTCTTGTACCAAGAGGAAATAAATTCCTCAGGTTATCTCCTTGCATAATAGATGATTGAGCAACCATGTATGCAAGGAAAACCTGTCAAATCCCATCTTCTGCATGAGCAAGTGCACCCATTCAAATCCACCACAAATATATTGCCTTTACCTTCATCCACTTCAAATTTTTCTCATCCAGACCATGTAGTTATAGTGTAAGCTTTTTAGTTTGTAATCCTCCAACTTTTTCTAGATTTTTGGGCAGATAGCTCCTTTATCATTCCTCATTGCATATCTTCTCAACCATATCCTCTTCATCAATAAAACTCTTATAGTTTCTAGCATGGTAATAATAGGCTTGTCCCTAGACCTTAGGATAAAAGAATTGAATCTCTCACAGAGGTTGTTTAAAAGAATGTCACACTGAGTGTGTGTCTCAAAGTGTGACCTACTTCAATGCAAGGCTAGTCTCTTCAACAACCATTTATAAGCTTCAACATTCAGCCTATTCACCTTAGCCATACTCTCTCTAAAATCAGCGATGGTTGTTGCCTTGGCAGCATTCCACAAAGCATCCTTTAATCATTTCCCTTTAAACCGATATGCCTTGTAGTTGGTGTATAAGTGCCTAACACAGAATCAATGATTACAATTAGGTAGCACCTTCTCAAAAGTTGGTATTAAACCCTTTTGTTTGTCAGAAATGAAAGTCCAAGCACGTTGGTTCACAATTTCCAAGTCAACAACTAGCAGTTCCATAAACCTAACCTAAATGTCCTTGTCCTCGAGCTCTACTATGTCATATGCAATAACCCAAGTTTGGTTATTTGCATCCATTCCCACTGCAGATAGTAACTGGCCCTTGAACACTCCCTTCAAGTGACAACCATCTAACCCTACAAACGGCCTACATCCATTCTTAAATCCATTTTTGCAAGCCCCCAAACAAATATAAATCTTCTGAAATATCACATGAGCATCATCATAGGGCAGCACCTTCATTTGAAATGTGCTACCCGAGTTTGTCCTCCTAAGCTCATCACAGTATTCCCACAACTTTGTGTACTGATTCACATTACTCCCCTCAAGGATTTTCAAACACTGTGCTCTCACTCTGTAGGCTGTCTTGAGGTGGATCTCAACAATTCTTTCCTCTTTCACTGTCTCCATAAATGTAGTAATGGGCATGCTTGGGTTGAGTCTGAACTTGTCCACATACCTCTTCACAAGCCATGCCACTTTGCAGTTAGGATTTTCCCTCCAAATCCTCAGACAATCATGTTTCCCAACATAGGTTTTTACTTGCATTGAATCTTCATTATACATCCTGGAAGCATACAATCTCCATGGACAGTTTTTCTCACACCTTGCACTAATCTTCCATTTCTCATTCCTTTTTAGCTTAATAGAATGTGCACCATACTTAATGGAGTGAGACCACACTGCCTTTCTCAATGGTGCTGCATTTCTTAACTTTAATCCATTTTCAAACTTTGGATCATCCATGTCGGCTTCTTCATTGAGCTCAAGGTAGATGATCTTCTCATCACATTCTGAACTTGAATCATCCACACTGTGCAGGCCATCTGAGTCTTGTGTCTCATCATCCAAGGGAATGTCTTCTACATCCTTTGCATCAATAACATATTCTGGATGTTGGTTCCCAACCATTCACCTCCTTCAGCATCTCCAATGACATTTTCCACAACCGTATCATCTACTGCACGACAATCATCATCTTCCAAACTGTAGTCATTGTCCACAAACTCACTATTTGTACTGTCATCTTCTGCATTTACTGCCACAAGTAATGCATATTTGTTAAAAACCTAAACTTTGCAAAAATAATTGAATACTGAAATCAAAATTGCAAAAATAAATGTTTCAAAAATTTTACCATCATTAGCTTCTACTTCGGCCCCTTCATTAACTTCTTCAATTTCGTGACCTTCTTCAGTTTCATCACCTTTATCATCTTCATCACCTTCACCTTCATCATTAGCATTGAGAGGACCATCTTCAGCCTCATGTTCATCATCACCATTGTAGGCTATGTAATTCAAAAGACATAGCCATTTTTCTAAGTGATCAACACCCCATTTTGCTCTACCTTTCTTCAGTTTTGATCCACTTCCTTTTGTAATCGAAATCGCCACCCTCAATTCCTCAATATCTTCTATAATGACACATTTTTGCAATATGCCACTCTCATCTAGATTCATCAAAAGCTTATGTTTCAAGGCAGCTTGCTTCGGACTTAGATGTTCTAGGTAGATTTCTGTGTCCTAGTCCCTGGAACATACTTGCACATTTGACCAACATCTTGGTCCCATTCAATAAGCCTTAATCCCTCCCTATAAGACATCCCAGGAATCCTATAATGATACAATATAAACCCATCATATCCTAACTCCTTAACCATTTCATCAATCTTGAAAAAAGACATGAAGTCTTTGTCTACATAATCAAACCAAGCCCCGAAACCTCCCATATATGCATTTTTAGACCACTTCCCACCATGGTTAATTTTAATGCTAAATAATTCAGGCATGCCTGCAAAGTCAAGGAAATATGTTTTAAAACCTAAAAAGTTAACCCAAAATACTAGTAGGACCATGAGGGGAAAAGGTGAAAACAAAAACATGGGGACTCGGGGACCATGAATACAGGGTTTTTTAAAGGTTGCAATTGGGACCACGAATGAAGACAACATGGAAAAATAAATAAAAATCAAATCACAATCCAAAAACTTTGAACTTTATCAACCTAATCAATCTGAACTTTTACTATTTTCATTTTATTTATATACTTAAGAATGTTTATATATATTATATATTTTTCTTGTGTAGTTAATTACAATCAATCAAATTTATAAAAGAACGAAGAGATGACACTGATACAAGGAACTCATTTGAAAAGCTCACTCCCAAGAGTCACAGCACCTATCTCCTCATCAACTTCTATGTGAAAATGGCTACTTTCTCTCCCCCGATGGATTCGTTCTAGCTCCTCCACAACAATCTGCATCTGCGGCCTTCGTTCGCTACCATCTACACACATCAATGCCAGCTCCATCATCTGTTTCGCAGTTTGCCTCGACTTGTCACCTAAAGTTTTGTCAACAAATCTGTCTAAATCCTTGCAATCCTTTGCCTACGAAAGCAAACGGAACTTGATAATAAATGAAAGGGTTGAAAGGGTAACTATATAGGCTGCACTTCGCTTTGTTGCTTTCTTTTTTTGTTTACAGTTGTGCCACACAAGCAGATCTTAAGAACGAACGAAAAGTTTACTTCTTTGAATGACAAACTTGTAAGTACGTGAAGTCAGTGAAGTTTCATAACTACGCATAAATGCATGTATAATGATGAAAGCCCATCCAAAATATGTAACTCGTAACGCGAGCACATGATCTTGTAAATGATAGAGTGAATGCACTGTTCAGAACCAACAACTCTCTCTCCCTCTCCACAACCTTTTGATCTCAGAATCTCTCACACTCTCTAAATTCTTTGTTTAAGAGCTCTTCAGTTACGTCACTTGATCTTATCCAAAAAGGATCAGAAAAACCTGCAAGCTACTCTAGGATCTTGAGAATATCCATTATATTAGGGAGAGCTTCAGCCATCATTTTGCTTGCCTTAGAGAAGTGAGGTGTCCATCCACATAAAGACGTGTGGAGTGCAAGAGTGTAGAAGGTGAGGTGTTTTGCATTAAACGCACCTTTCTTCAGTGTATGAAAAAGAACAGCCAAGTTCCTGATGGCCTATGCCTAAAATGTAAACGATATGGCTCTAAAGAGTAAAGACGGGGGATTAAGAAGTTATCATTAGGGCAAGATACAGATATATACCTGCAATATTAAATTATCCACTGAGTTCAACTGGTTTCTTGCATTCGCTTCACGTCCACTGACCAATTCCAGCAAGAAGACCCCGAAACTGTAAACATCACTTCTCTCTGAAAACTTCTTTGATGAATCTAACCTATAGGAGGAAAAAAAAGAGTAGATTAGATATAGACATTATCAATAAATCAATCTAAACACAAAAACCATAGTTCTAGAATGAATGATATCTGAAGTTTTTGCTAAATTGATTGTCAGGCATATTTCGTTAAGAGTAGATTAGCATACTTCCTTATGATTGGAAGATGAAGATATCCGAAGTTTTTTTCTTCAATCGAATTAGTCAACTTAAAATTCGAAGCAACTTCCACTATAAGAACTAGAGGCGCAACTTGATGAAGCACTCAGAAGCAGATTGCTACTGGCTGCTCAACGTAGTACTAGAAGAAAGTTAAATCATATTACCGTAATACAATCAACTTCTAATCTTGATTTTGGCACTCAAATGGTTATAGAACTCGACATAAGTTCTGTTAGGGCAGTATAATTTACAACGGGGGTGGAACCTGCTGAATTGCATCAGATGCTAGGAGGGGAAAAGAATATCCAGTAGCATTGCGAGAAGTCACTTTCTGTAGTCTAGTTATTAAAAGTACGCATTATTCTGATGGTGATGCTACGGCAACTAGCCACCATAACGAAGTATGCTTGTCGGGCAAATCCATGAGAAAATTTAACTAAGGTTACTTTCTGCTAAATTGACTTAAAGAAGCATAGAATTATAAAATAGAGCGACCAAAGGGTACTGTTAAGTGCTAGATTGTTTTTGCCAATCTAGATCGCTTAACGTGCGAAAACGACCTGCAAGGAATTGACAGAGGAATCTTTGGAGAATAAGTTGGACGAGGAAACTTACTCTTATATTCCTCGCAGGCAATTCTTGCACATCAAGCAACCTTGATCGTTAGTGACAAATAGCCTTACAGGCACAAAGAGGTGCTATCCGCATCTACAGACTTAGCACTTTAAAGATAAGATTACATACTCTGGGTCAACAAAGCAATCAACGGCTGAAGATGAGCCAGCATGATGACCCACTAGCAATTTGGTTAGTCCATAATCAGACACCTTGGCAGTAAAGTTTTCGTCCAGAAGAACGTTGCTTGTTCTAAAATGCATGTGCAGAAGAGGAGGCACCAAACTGCGAAGGTGTGCAAGTCCTTGTGCAAAATAAATGAAAGAGGAAAGTTCAATTATTTTATGCAAAAGAGACTTGCTGAAAGAACTTGAAGCAGGTGATGTACCTTTGGCTGCACCCAAAGCAATCGATAGCCTTTGCCTTATGCCCAACCTTCCAATAGGCAAACCTTCAGCATCTGCATAATTATGTTGTTAAAGAGGGGGAGAGAGAGAACGAAAGAGAGTGAAAGTGTGTAGAGAGAGAGAGAGAGAGAGAGAGAGAGAGTACCGTATAGATGATTCCCAACATTTCCATTTGGAAGATAGTCATATACAAGTAACTGTTGAGTGGCATCTTGACAATAACCAATAAGCCTGAGAATATGCATGTGGTTGACACGAGCTACGTGCTTCACCTGTATCGGATCAAAAGAAGTCAGAATACTCAGAAGTTGCTACGAAACGATATTCTAGGCACTACCTCACTAAGAAAGTTATGGTTTACTAGGTAAGATATATGAATCGGAACTTGCATACCTCATGAAAGAAATACTGAGTTGGGGCATGTAGGCGTCTCTTGATAGCTACAATAGTCCCATCTTGAAGCAATCCCTTGTAAACCAAACCAAATCTACCTTGGCTTATGATATTAGTTTCACTGAAATTGCACGTCGCTTGCTCCAATTCCAATATGGTGAGTTGCCTCAAGTTTGGTGCACTGTAAGGAGAATGAGCAATGGCGTAGGGAGATGCGTCCCCTCTTTCCCACTGAACTGAAGGAAATCAAAGAAACCAAATCACAAAACTTAACCAGTGAGCCAAACCACGACCTTAACAGATAGAAACACCAGTTAATATTCTTGTACAACATTATCAATCGAGCATGAAATAACTTCGCTTCATTTTCAGTCACATCCTACTGTTACGTCTGTAATTTTTTAATACAGCGTCGATGATAGAGAGTACTTTTATACAAAAGTGACGTATACTAGGATTGAATTCTACGAGACGCACCTCATAATGCCAACTGTGGACCTTCTAGCTAGGAGGATTCCCCCCATTTTTTATTCTTTTTGGGTTAATTAGAATGCATAGTGGTTAAATACAGATAATCAAAACACATAGATGCTTTGCTCCCTTTCCTAGAAGAAACGAATTGATTTATCTCGAGGACCTGTTTGTGAAACACCAACTTGAGAAAGGCATGTCCATATTGTACCAGAGTGGTGTGTGTGGCCAGAAACTCATATTACTTAGCCCAGTGCTGTTTCAATTTTGAAGCCTTCGAAACTGTGTCTGTAAAGTTGTATTGTTCATCATTTGACTTAACAAGAATACGCAAGGCAACTGCTATTTCACATGTTTTATGTCGTTCCTCTTTCAATAAACTGCCCTGAAGGCTGAAGGCATATGCAATGCAAGGAATCCAAGGAATTCTTTGGCTAATGATCAATGCAGTTAGATGTATCCTCATTTGAGTCATTTTACATCCTTTCCGGGACTGAAAATTTCCTCAAATGGTTATGAGCTAACTTACCAGGGGGTGATGGTGCAGATGACACTGTCTCAGATGTTTGCCTAGTTAATCTTTTTACACGCATCAAGCAGATGTAAACGAGCATCACTACGATAATCACAAGCAGAGTGGCAACAACTCCACCAATAATTGCTGCAACTTTTGGTTTTGTTGAATGGTTACCACGAACTTTTTCCACAGGTGTGAGTGTTGGAGTTCCATTATCCCCATCAACTATGGCTGCTATCCTCCTGCTTCTTGGTTTATGGTGCTCTTTTTGTAGTTGAATTGAAGAGTGTGTAACGAAAAGTCTTGGAACAAAAGGTGGCAAACTGACTGCGTTAGCCCACAGGGGAATTGAACAGATACCAGAAAACCCGTTGGAAGTATAACATCAAAGGTACTTGCAATATACGTCAGAGCTCAAAAGGTTAGGTCCATATCTATAAAAAATTATTTTAGACGTGTATGGATTAACTTTTTGGCTAGTTTCAATATATGTTCAGCACAAGTGCTGATGTGCATTACTACAAAACTTTAATTTGTAGTTAATTTCCTGGCAGTAATCAAGTTATTCGCTTGCGTCTTATATTAATGCTATGAAGGCAACAATTGTTCTACTTTGAATATGTTTGATGAATCATCATATACTATTTACTTCTGCACTGCTAGAGAGAGAGAGAGAGAGAGAGCATACAAAGAAACAACACACGGGTCCTTCAGTTTATGACAGTAGACAATTTTCCATTGTGTTAGACAAGGACATCTTCCAATTCGACCGTTGAGTAGTTGAGGGCTTCCACCATCGCTCTTGAAAGTTAGTAGAGCTTCAGCTATGCGTTTCAGAGAGGGAAACAAAACAATAAAAAATCAGCGTTCTTCGAAATGGCAATCGCAATGAAGATTAAGCAAAGTAAGAATATGACAGCCTAAACATCATGCACATTTTGCGTCAATCGCATGCCTAGCCAAACCATTTCGAACATGAAAAAAACCGTATCCTTTCAGACCAAAAAATAAACAAATGAGAAGAGAAATTGCAGCATAGCTGTTTAAAAGGAATTCCGAAATCCAAAACAATTATAAACACCGTTTACATATTCAATACAGCATATCAAGGAGGAGAGAAATTTGATCCTATGACTCAAATAAGGGGCACAAGCAGACGTGACAATAACCAAGTTGGCTAGAGCAACATGATCCCGCTCTGCATCCAAGTTCGAATCCCCTTTCCCGCATTTAGATTAGATTAGAATACCGCTTGAATAAAAAATAGATAGAGTAAAAGTACCGTAAACTTTGTAGCTTGTTCTGCTGGGTTCCAAAAGATGGATGAGAATAAGCAGAGGCAGCTGTTGCCACCAGAACAAGCGCATTGTCAATAAACCCAACATTTCGTTCACACTTGGCAGACAAAATCACAAAAATCCCACATCCCAAGGGATTCCCATGGGAATCTCAAAAACATCTGCATGAACAAGTTCAAAACTTGGGAGCTGCTCAAGTCCTCAAAACCCAGGTAGTGAATGTGAATGACGATAATTGATAGAGAACGTGGTGTGCTTTTCCCTCGGGTTTTTCACTTTTCACCTTAAAATAAAAAGCCGCTTTTTCTCACAGGGCTTTCTGCTTCTGCTGTTCATAAAATCTAGGATTCTCAGGAAAACAATGAGAACCCAAGTTTCAAAATCTTTTAAAGATTTTCGGCCTTTTGACACGACAAAAAAAAAAAGAACAGTGAAAGAGAGATACTAAAGAGATTTTCAATACTTCCACTTTATATTTTTTGCATAATATTTTATAAAATTGACACGATAATTGACGTTAAATTGTGAGTTGTTAGAAAGCTAATAGGATGTCTCACTTTAAAGGTGTCCTTAGCATTCCTCACAATGAAAAAATAGTACATGTATACAGACAAAGATTATTTAACGCAAAGCTAAAGTGTGACTAAATGGGTCTGCACTTCATTGTTAGAGAACATGTTTATTGTTTTTTTCCTTCCACATGTCAAGGAAAAGTCACCATTGCCATAATCAAAGGCGGTTTTAAGGGAGCGAAAAATGCAATCGCACACAGCTTCAAATTTAAAAGAGCTTCAAAAAAAATTTGTCATCTAATATTGATATATCCTTTGCATTTCTCATAGTGAAACAATAGTACATATATACTGACAAAAATTAGTTAACACAAAGCTAAAGTGTGAATTAATAGGGCTAGCACTTCATTGTTAGAGCACGTTAACAGTTTTTTTTATTCCACATGTCAAGGAAGAGTCACCATTGCCACTGTTTTTTTTCTTCCACAGGTTCCAAATTTGAAAGGGCTTCAAAAAAAAAAATATTTTTGTTTTTAAAGTAGATATAGAGAGGAAGACAATAACAGCATCCTCAATTGGGGCTTTATCCTCTATGAGGCTACTACATTTTAAGCCTTAGTGAGAAATTTCATCTCCAATGAGCCGGAAAATGGGTCTACATCCACCACTTGGGCTAGCAACTTCTTTTCTTGGGTAGCATAAATTTAAGCTACATCTAGGCCAAAAAATAGTGGGTCCATGAGAAAAGTAGCAACTCATGTAAGCCAAATTCTATCTCTCCCTCCACTTGTGAATACGCTCTCATTTTATTCTTTTCTTTTTTAATTCTTTTTTCTTACATGTTTTTGTTCCAAAGATCCTCCTACATTTTGTTTGTATGCTTAATGTTTAAGACATAAAATGATATAAGCTATTCTACAAAAAGGCTCACTTTTATTAATCTAAAAATTTAGATTTCCCCTTAAAACCTTAACACATCAAATATATTTTTTCCGACTTAAACCCGTTTATTGGGTTTTAACAAAAAAAAAATCATTAAATTTTCTTTATGACTCAGATTACAAAATTTTATATTCCTAAAATGCCCCTTATCATGTGATGAAACATTTGATTGTGTTTGTTTGTAATTTGGCTAATTAATGATTGTTTTAAATTCCATAAGAATTAAAATTTCAAGTGGATTTAACGTTCATGGGCATTGGTGGGTGAAATTTTCAAATAATTTTTTTCAAATTTGTATGATACTAATTTACCAATTGGTACTAGGTAAATTGTTGTGTTGTACCTGAAAATCAAATTATATTACAGACCGAAGTGGAGGTTTGTATCTTTCAACATATGAGATTGAGATAAGAGAATCTAATCCAACGAATAATTCATAAATGATGAAATCTAATTTTGTCAGAATTAGAACTTTTTTATGTTGAAATGTTCATAAAAAAAATTAAGATAACACGTTCAAAAATCAACTTAAGAAAAGTTAACATAAAAAAAAAATTTATCGCATGATCAAATTACTACATAAATATATATATAGCCTCATATAGAGCCCGAAAGAAATAACCCTTCATTGGAAGAGATTCTTTTATAAAGCCCCAAATATTTCTCGGAGCTCTAAAATTGGCTATATCCATCACTTTTACGACCCCATATAGAGCCCCTCACTAAGAATGCTAAGGGAGAACGTAAGCGTGGGGATTTGGGAGAGAGGGGAGTGAGGTTTATTTCTTGTGTTTTGACTTTGTTGAGGTCCCTTGTGTGGGTTAACATCCGAAACAGAATTCTTCTCCCAGAAAAGCAGCCAAACACATACATAATGAATGACGTGACATACAAAATACATTCCAAGTAAGTCCGCATTTCCTATGACATAAGAACAGTTAGTTCTTCAAAAACCGACTTTCTTGGCCTCTTTCAGTCTTCACATTTGTTTCCCGTCCCAGATTACTATAGAGCATTAAATTATTGGTTGTTCAAAATTTAGGAAATTCAGGAAATTCAAATCATAATGTGTTGCTTTATGGAGAATTGGAAATGATTACGACAAATTGTTATGTGAGATATCAATTGTTAAAGTAAGTAGGTCTCACAATGCGTCAACAGTTGACAATCATTCATGTGCCGGCTAAACGATTGCTACTTGCACTTGCACAACTCTTATAGAGATTCATAAGAGGTTTTAGATGTAAGTCTTTGTCAATTTATATAGAAAATGAGCATGTCATGTGTACTTTTTCATGTGCCATTACATTTATTAGTTACTAGCTTTCATGCACGTGTAGAATGTATATTTTGAATAACGGCGTGCTACACGTGACGTACACGTTTTAAATCTATTTATATACGTAAATTGACAAAAGGAAAGTCAAATATTTGAAGTAAATGAATAATCTTAGATCATGCTAAAAGGAACCCATCATAAACCAACTAAAGTAGATGAATTCACATAATAAAATCAATCTCTATAGAATTTACATTAAGAATAGAGAAAATAATATTTAATAAACAATTGATGGAATCACATTATTGCTAGCCCATTATAAGGCTAAGCACACCCCCTCCCCCTTAGTGTAGATAATATCGTTTGTTAAAAAAACAATCATTTGACAACTTGTTAAAAAAAACAATCATTTGACAACTAATTTAATCACATTATTATCTGCGTGCAAAAAACCTTTTTTATAACCGGCGTTACACGTCTCTTAAGATGTTTTGAACGTGTTTAAAAAAATATTTAATAAACAATTGATTGAATCACATTATTGCTAGTATATTGTGAGGCTAAGCCCACACATCCCCCTTAGTATAGATAATATCATTTGTTAAAAAAAATAATCATTTGACAACTAATTTAATGTAATTTAATCATATTATTATCTGCGTGCGAAATACATTTTTTATAACTGACATTACACGCCTCTTAAGATGTTTTGAACGTGTTTAAAAATAGAGAAAAATAATATTTAATAAACAACTGATTGAATCACATTATTGCTAGCTCATTGTGAAAATAAGCCCACCCCCTCCCCCTTAGTGTAGATAATATCATTTGTTACAAAAAAAAAAACAATCATTTTACAACTAATTTAATCACATTATTATCCGCTTGCGAAAGACTTTTTTTATAATTTGCATTACACGCCTCTTAAGATGTTTTGAACGTGTTTAAAATAAATAAAAAATAATATTTAATAAACAACTGATTGAATTACATTATTGTTAGTCCATTGTGAGGCTAAACCCACCCCCTCCCCCTTAGTGTATATAATATCATTTGTTAAAAAAAATAATCATTTGACAACTTATTTAATCACATTATTATCCGCTTGCGAATGACTTTTTTTATAACCGGCATTACACGCCTCTTAAGATGTTTTGAACATGTTTAAAAATAGAGAAATTGAATCATATTATTGCTAGCCTATTGTGATGTACTACTTAAAAAAACAAACAAACAAACAACAAACCACAAAAAAATAAATTATTAAAAAAATACTATTAAAATGACAAAAATGACTTTACCTTATTTGATGCATTATTTTGGGATGCCTTTGAAGTTTTTTTGTCTTGGGGGTGTTTTGTCCAAATATTTTTGTTGAAGCTTGGTGACAATAAAATCACTATTCACCTTTTCCATTGGCTTTATATATAGATATATAAAGGGTTTTTGAGTTTACATGATATAAGTTGTAGTGAGTCAATGAGGAGATGGGTTAGAACAGTCACTTCAATAAGAGTGGGATTTTAGCCGTTGATGCAAGTGGATCTCATAGTTCTTTAATGGATAACAGTTACTCACATGTGTATGGACAACAATTACTAGCAAAACTCTTATAACGAAAAATGACATAGACTTTTTGGACGAAATGTTCTGTCAAATTATATATCTTAAATGTACAAGTGAACTTAATTTGAGATTCAAAGAAGAACGCGGAATTGTAATTTTTTTTTTTTCAAAGTAGGAACAAATTTGAGATTGTATCCTCTGCAAAACAAAAAATTTGGGTAAATTACATAGTAACTCCTCAAGTTTAAGGTCTATTACAACCCCATACAACATCTTTAAAACATTTCACTTTCATACCTCAAGTACTATTTTATTTCAATATAATATATCCATTAGATTTTCCATCTATTAATCTGTTAAATGCTGATGTGGCTGGCACATTTGTGCCACGTGGCCAAAAAAATAATTTTTTAATTTTTGTTTTTTAAAAAGCCTAAATCTTCTAAATAAATTTATATAAAAATAATAATAAAAAAAACCCATCTTCATCTTCCCCAACCCCCCCTTCCTTACAACCCACCCCTTTCTTCCCCCTCCCGTCTTTCCCAAACCCACCACACCCATCCTCCACGTCCTCCTCCGCACCCACCCTCGCACCCACCGCGCACCCACCCTTTTCCCTCCACTACACACCTCACTCCTTAAATCCATACCCATTGGGGAAGATGGGATTTGGGTTGTAGGGAAAGGGAGATGGTTTTTTCTTTTCTTTTCTTTTCTGGGTTGCAGGTAGTGTGGAGGGGGGCTTGAGTGAGGTGGGTCGCGGGGTTGGGGGGCGCTATGGTGAGGTTGGTCACATAGGGGGGGTGTTGGGGGGAGGGATAATCACTAGGGGTGGGATGGGGGATCTGGGGAAGGGATGATCATTTGGTGGGGGGTGATCGGATCTGGGTTTGGGTTTTTTTTTTTGGGTTGAAGATTCAATATTTTTTTTTAATTTAAAAAAAAAATTTGCCACATGGCACAAATGTGGTAGCCACATCAACATTTAACGGATGGAAAATCTAACGGATGTATTATATTGAAATAAAATAGTGCTTGAGGTATGAAAGTGAAAAGTTTTAAAGATATTGTATGGAGTTGTAATAGACCTCAAACATGAGGGGTTACTATGTAATTTACCCAAAAAATTTGCTTTCTAAATTTGGAGAAGAACTTACATACAACTAGGACGTCAATATGACACTAACCCAAATTAATTACTCATGAGTACTTCCACTAGTTGCATGTAATTAAGTTTCTCTCATAAATTTGAGATGGTTGTATAACCAAATTATAACTTCTTCCAAGTTTCAACATCCAACTTCCAACCCAAGTTATGAATTCAACATCAAGGCCGTAAAGATCTTTTGTCTAAGGTTTCCTATATGGTCCTCCAAAGTATGAGACACTCTAGAGCACCATAAAATTTTTGCAAACTCTAAAATATCAGATACCCCGGAGCATCATAAAACTATTGCAGAATATATTCATTGCAGCGTGTATATATGTACATTCTCATGTGCCATTGTGTGTATATAGAGAGGGTTTATCTATGGGTTTACGTGCATGATATAAGTACTAGTGAGTTTATGAGGAAGGAGGGTTTTTGCCTTTTGGGCACCAAGTCATTGTTGGACTGGTCCTGCATAATCCTGCGGTTCATGGAGACGGAGTCCAAAAAGTCTCGAAACCAGCGACAGTCACATGACAATGGGTGGCTGTGCTGCCGAGCGTTGGCAGAGGGGACTCACATGCAAAACGCCTTCCCTACTTTGTCTGCCCCATTTTCTCAACTTGGGAGAAGTGGAAGGATGAACCAATTTGGTCTTACTATCTTTATCCTTGTTTTAAAAAGTTGGTTTTTATGGAAGAAAGAAGCACTCTAGCCCTTTTTTTCCTTCACGCAGGCATTTTTGGGAGGAGGATTTTAAGATAAACATTTTTAATTATTTGAGTTGCATATCTTTAATTTGGTAGTTCAAAAGTTGCGTTAATTCCTCCGCATCTTTTCAATTTGGTTTGCTTAAAAACCAAAATGAATGCAGCATCGTAGTTACCATTGAAGTTTAGCTCTAAATTAACTTTCTCACACCACAACTTTCTTACACAACAACTTTACCAAACAACCAAACAATAAAAAACTTTTTGAAAAAACAAAAGTTGTCTCAAATATTCAACAAGGTCTTACTTTGAAAAGCTAAGAATTTGTAAATAAGTTTATATGGAGTGCGATTACTTTTTTCCGTTGAAATTAGTTTTAGAGTGAAACCTCAACCTTTTCAAATAGTGCATTCAAAAGAAGATCATTTTAAGATAAATAGAGATTCTTGAGATTGTATTCACCTCAAATATGGGCTAACATAACAATGCTCAACCAAAGATTTTAACACGGCATCTTAGAGCCCTTGTGTTATCTGAAAGCGTTTTTAACCCTCGGAGGATAACTAAATGTGTGTATGGAAATACTTTTAAAATAATAGAAAGTGTTTTTGATGAAAGTTCTTTTAATCAATCTCGTACCCCGTCTAATACGGGTCAAGATTCTTAACCGGGTTCAGTCGGGTAACGGGTTTGAACCAATCTAATACACTGGGGTTGCCCATAGAGCTTTTTTTTTTTGGTTGGGCCAGGAGTTGATAAAACCCGGCCCAAATCAGGTCCTCCTCCTTGTCGCCCGACCTGAACAAAATCAGCTACCCACGGCTTCCTCCATCTGCACAGAAATATGAAGAAATCAAATCATTCAGTCCGCCATGATTAGCGTTCTTGCTCAGGTTCGAAATTACAAATTCGAAAATTTTAATTTCGATTTGTGGTTTTCTAGTATGAACAAAATTTGAAAAATGCAGGAGCGTCTGCTGGGCGCTGCACTCGGAAGCATACTCACGGGGATCGTTGTGTTCGAGCAGCGCAGGTGCATCTACAACTCCATTTCCGGCGCCAAACCTCTACGAGTTTCCCAGGTAGTTTCCAATTTCCTTGTTTAATTATTGCGTTACGGCGTCGTGTTTGTGGCGGCTGAAAACCCTAGCTTTAGTGTGTAAAGTCTTAATCTTGTTGATTTTTAGCCTTTCCCAATCGGTCATATTAACCTGTTGATGAGGTTTTGGGGAGGATTAGGATTGCTTAATCAGCATACTTGGCTCATTTGTTGTGGAAATATATTTTGATTATTTTTATCTTATTTTATTTTTATATGATAATCATTTTCTCTACATGACCCTGTCAATAACGGGGTGATTCTTAAAACACTAGAAAACTTTTGCAATGAATTGTTTAGCTCCTAGCTTGCTGTGATTGAATTCTAATAATTTCAACTTTCAAACTTCTGCAGATTGCAGAGCCCATTTTTGGAAGGAAATCTCGTGCAGAGTTGGCGCACCTTTGGAACAAAGCTGTGGACCAGACATTTCGACCTGTGATCGAGTCTCTTAGTTCATCTGGATGGTAGATATACGCACTGCACTATTTTCGTGACATTAATACGTGCTAAACTGAACTTGCCCCACTTTTGTATTTTTGCATATTTTGAGCAACCAGACATTGATTTCAAAGGCATAATAATTTTGCTGGCAAACTATATTTTTATTTTTGAATTTATATCAGTGAATTATGCTTGTCTTTCTCTTCATGATTCGTGACTTTCAGGATACCTCAAGATGTACGAAAGATAATACAAAAAAGGGAACCCAAATGTTTTGGCCCTTATTGTCAAACCAATCTGTTGATGCACAAAACCGGATGGTCTTTGGTACAACGTAAATCCAACCGTGAATCTGCATGAAATGTAAATAACACGAGAGTTATCGTGGTTCACCTCAAAGTTTGGGCTACGTCCACACTGATTGTATTATATTTCTCTGAAAAGTGAGGGAGAGAGAGAGCTCTGAGAGTGTGAGAGCTTTGCTCTAGATATGAGAGACTTAAAGTTTGTGAGGGTGAGGAGGCCCTTTTATAGAATAAAGGCTCCTCCCCTTTTTACATATTTGCCCCTTCCTTTATTACATAATTACATTTAAGTCTCCCGAGTATTTATACGAGGTCTAAATACGAGGCCCTAAATATGGTATAAACAGTAGTCTCCCAAGTCTTCAATCAAGAGAGTCTTTTGGTTGGAGACTTGAAATTCAGTCCATGTGTAGGCCGAAGTAACTAGATGTTGTCTTGAACTAATGCTCGATATGAGGCAGTGTTGAATCTGAAATGATGCTCAACTAGAAGTAGCACACGTTGCGAAGCTCCTCGACTCGTGGCTTATGTTGCCTTGGTTGGCTCGGCTTGTGTCGTTTGAAGGTGAGGGAGTCCCTTTTATAGAATAAGGGTTCACTCCTCAATACATGGATGATGGGCTAGAATTGATGCTCTCTAATGATGGTGAGGGAGTCACTTTTATAGAATAAGGGCTCGCTTCTCAGTACATAAAAAATTGGTGCTCTCTAATGAAAGTGAGGGAGTCCATTTTATAGAATAAGGGCTCGTTCCTCAATACATAAGTAATGGGCTAAGTCCCCTAAGTATTTTTCATGAGGTTCAGTTGAGACCCAATATATGGTACATGATGTAGTCCCCCAAGTCTTCGGTCAATAAAGTATGTTGGCTGGAGACTTCAAATTAAATCCATGTATGATGGGCTAGAATTGATGCTCTCTAATGATGGTGAGGGAGTCCCTTTTATAGAATAAGGGCTCGCTCCTCAGTACATAAACAATTGGTGCTCTCTAATGAAAGTGAGGGAGTCCCTTTTATAGAATAAGGGCTCGTTCCTCAATACATAAGTAATGGGCTAAGTCCCCTAAGTTTTTTTCATGAGGTTCAGTTGAGACCCAATATATGGTACATGATGTAGTCCCCCAAGTCTTCGGTCAATAAAGTATGTTGGCTGGAGACTTCAAATTAAATCCATGTATGGGCCGAAATGGCGGTTGTTCGGTGGCTGTATTTGTATACCCTGTACTAAAGCTTTGTAGGTGAAGCTGTGCAAGTGAAGCTTTGAAGCTAGAGCTCTGTAAATGACGCTTTTGAAGCTAAAGCTCTGTAAATGAAGCTTTTTAAGCTGATTGACATGAGTGATGCTCATGAATATTTATGTTGATTGATATGAGTAATGCTCATAGATGTTGTCATGAATGTTAGCATGAGTGATACTCATGAATGTTTATATATGAATGACATGAGTAGTGCTCATATATAATTTGGAGTACTAGGCGTACTTTTGATCACCTGGTTGGTGGCATAAAGGAGAGTACGGGTTGTACATTTCATCACCTGGTTGGTGGCATGAATGGCTAGTTGCCAAATTAGAGTACGGGTTGTACATCTCATCACCTGGTTGGTGGCATGAATGCCTAGTTGCCAAATGATATTAGAGTATGGGTTGTACATTTCATCACCTGGTTGGTGGTAATAGTGGTGGGTTGCCGAATAATTGTGGAGTACTGGGCGTATTTTTGGTCACCTGGTTTGTGATAATAGTGGCAGGTTGCCGAATAATTGTTGAGTACTGGGCGTACTTTTGATCGCCTGGTTGGAGCTATTTTGGGCTTATGGGCCTTCGCCCTCCACACAACATTCCAGCCCATTTATTTTGGGCTTTGCCTTTTTTTTTTTTTTTTAACTACCCTCTGATGAGGGTTTATACATATTACCCTCTGATGAGGTTTATACAGATGTCTTCGAAATGTAAGAAAAATAAATTACCTCATACAAAAACCAGAAAAGTAAATCACATCATTCTAGTGGGGTGTTTATTCCTTGCTATTTTCTGTTCTCCTGTAAAAGGTAATAGTTGCCTGGACAACCTTGACATCACTCACTTGCTTTTCTTGCTTTTCTTTAAAATGACAGCTGCCTGGACAGCCTTTTCGACACCGCCCATTTGTTTTTCTTTGTCTTTCTCAAAGAATGAGAATATGCATGATGGTGGGCATCTTCGTCGACAAAAGAAAAAGTATCATCCTGGCTTTTTCCTTTCTGTATTCATTTTCTTCCCTTTTTCTTTTTCTATGCTCTTTAGCTGTTCCAATTGTTTTAGCAATAATTCCTCTTTTAACAAAAAGATTGTTCTTCGCCATCTCCGTGTGCAGCACCGCCTTCGATTCTGAATCAAAAACCATACCCTGAAGGGCGTCTTTGGCAACAATGGCTTGCTGAAACGACATTCGAGCGGCCACATTCGAACTGCTTGAAGACTTACTACCATATTCTTTGGTGCTTTCTCTCCCTTTCTCTTTCTCTCTCTTCCTCCTCCTCCTACCTCTAATCCTCCATCGCTGATTCTCAATCCAAATCATGAAGAGTGGGATCGATCAGCAAAAATAGCAATGGCGATTACGCAGGAAGAAGACGAGGGCGAGGCGCAGCGGATGCAACGGCGGTGGCGGGTTGGTGTGATCGAGAAACGCGAATCCCGGCGCACTGTAAAAATTCCATTCTCCTTCGAGAGAGCGAATAATGAGATGAAAAAGCGCAATGTGTTAACATCTGGATTATCAACATTAGCGGCCATCCAAGAGTTCTGTGCTATCTGACTGATAACAAAAATGAGGTGTAGAAGAACCGTTGTTGAGAAGTAGAAGAACCCGTTTTTCTGTTTCAGATACTGTATGAACGACTTCAAACATATGCCTCATGTTTCTCTCTCTTCTTGTTTAATCAACCGGTCATATGACGCTCTGTGTTGCTTTACTATGTAAGTCTTCTTAATCTCTTTGGACGATATTCCGCTTTGTGCTGAAGTGGCATCTGCAAGCGTTTCAGGACTGGCGGTTTCTTCATGTGCATTGACAAGGTCCTGAAATTCTTGGCTCGACGCCAACAGGTGGTGATAAGAAGCTGCTTGTAGGATCTCCCCATCCAAAAATGCTACCAATTTCAGAGAAATCGACTGACGGAGGCGATGGTAACTCAATTGGCAGAAACGACGGCAGCCATGGAGGAGATGAATCAGTGTGGTGGACTGGGTGTGCTGCAGCAGCAGCAGCAGCTGGGGCAGCTCCACCGGCACCTGGAGCAGCAACGGCAGCAGCGGCACCGCCACCACCAGCGCCAACATTCAGGATGAGGTCTTCAATGTTCCTCTTCTTGGCGAGCTTGGCGAACAAGCCGGGCTAGTAAAACTCAACAGTGATATTAGCAGCTTTCGCCACTGTTGCAATCTTCTCAGCAGTGATGGGGATGCCATCATCATGAAGGATTAAGGCGGCATAGGTGCAAGCAATCTCTGAAATCGACATCGTTTTTCGCTGAAGGAGATGAGATCTAAGACTGATGGGTGGTAGAAAGCTGCGCGGCTGCAAAACCTCAACATTTTTTGGTCTAGGGTCTTCCGATTTTTCTGCTTTCTGGGTTTTGTAGAGAGAGAGAGGAGAGAGGAGAGAGATGGACTGGTTTCTTGGGGGTTTTTTTTTTTGGGGAAAGCTTTGGGTTGTTAGATTTTTGCAGGTTCACAGTGGTGATGTTTGATGAAAAAATGAAAGAGTACCGACATAGTTTTTTGTGTCAATTCCCACATACGGCGTCAAATGTTGATGCACAAAACCAGATGGTCTTGGTACAACGTAAATCTGACCGTGAATCTGCATGAAATGTAAATAACACAAGAGTTATCGTGGTTCACCCCAAGGTTTGGACTACGTCCACACTGATTGTATTATATTTCTCTGAGAAGTGGGGGAGAGAGAGAGCTCTGAGAGTGTGAGATCTTTGCTCTAGATAGAAGAGACTTAGAGTTTGTGAGGGTGAGGAGGCCATTTTATAGAATAAGGGCTCCTCCCCTTTTTACATATTTACCCCTTTCTTTATTATATAATTGTTAGACCAAGTCATAGTCCGCGTGTCGTCTCAAGAGTTCGTGATCAAGTTAAACGTTTATCCACCAAGAGTTAGTTTAGGTTAAGACTCTTTCTGATATTCTTTTCCGTGTAAATCCAAGTCTGATCTTTCTGTTGTATTTTTTATTTTCAAATATCCTTGTAAATAGGGATTTCAGTTCCCTGATGTAATCTGGAATGTAGTATAAATACATGCAGCCCATCACTGATTGGGTATGCAATTAAAGTGAAACTGTGAGTGTTCGTAAGTTTTTCATGGTATACGAGCCCTAGCAGTCTAACGACACAGATCAGTTTTTTTTTTCTTCCATGGCCGATTCTAGCAACGGTGCTGCAACCCAAACCTCCAACCTCACCAATTCCACCATGAACCCCTTCTCGTCTTTAACCACAGTGGTGAATATTAAGCTGGATCGTACCAATTATCCTTTATAGTTGGCTCAGATCTTACCTGTTCTCAAAAGTCGGGACCTGATGGGTTACGTCGATGGGACGGTTGTTTGCCCTGCCAAACAACTTTCTGGAAGTACAACTACTAATCCTGCGTACACAACATGGGTGCAATACGATCAAATGATACTCAGCTGGATTAATGGGTCGCTCACGCCGTCTGTGCTCTCGGTCGTGGCCAGCAAGAGGACCTCTCGTGCTACCTGGGAGGCTCTCGAGCAACGGTATGCCTCTACGTCCCAGAATCGCATCCTGTTTCTGCGGAACGAACTTCTACAAACAAAAAAAGGTGATTTGTCGATTGCTGATTATCTTGATAAGATGAATGCTATTTCTGATAACCTTGCCCTAGCTGGCAAACCTGTGGATGATGATGAACTTGTCCAGATTATTTTGAACAATCTTGGGCCTGCTTATGAGATGACAGTGAACGTTGCTCAGGCACGTGATACTCCAATCACGTACCCAACGCTTGAGGCGCTCCTACTGACAACCGAGAGGAGGATGACTGAGCAAGCTGCTCCCCTCATGGAGGATGCTCCTGTTAATGCCTTTGTCACTACCAGAGGTCGTGGTGGACGATCTCGTGGAACTGGACAAGGAATGGCTCCAGCTGGACGTGGTGGTGTTGCTGGAAACCAGCGCGGTGCCAATCCCCGCAACAATTATTTCCATAACAGTGTAAGACCTAATTTTGCATGCAATGGTGAAAAGTTCAATAGTGCAGGAGAACGGATTACATGCCAAATTTGTGGAAAACAAGGGCATCCTGCCTTCGATTGTTACCAAAGAATGAATACTGCGTATGAAGGAAGGATCCCAGCCAAGAACCTCACTGCCATGGCCACCTCTCCAATCCCTCTTAACCGACAAAACAATGGTCAGTGGCTGCTTGATACTGGAGCCAATGCCCATGTCACTCCCGATCTTAAGAATTTGGTTAATCCAAAAGAGTATCACGGTAATGAGAATGTGGGTGGAGTAGGTAATGATTCTGGAATTTCTATTTCTCATCTTGGTTCAAATACTTTACAAACTAAATCTTGCTCATTTGACTTGAAAAATATCCTAAGATGTCCCACTGCTTCCACACATATTATTTCTGCCCACAGATTTACCCTAGACAATCATTGCTATATACTTATTTTCCCTCATTTTTTCCTTGTCAAGGACCTCCAGACCCGGAAGACGCTTTTCCACGGAGATGTGAGAATGGCTTATACCCATTTTCAGGTGGCGGTGGACAGTTTAATTACCCTATTTCAGTGTGTGTCGGCGTTCGAGTCTCGGCTCAGAAATGGCATTCCCGCCTTGGTCATCCTGCCTCGTCTATTGTCCAACTTTTAATTTCCAATAAGAAAGTACCAATTCTTGGTGCTTCCAATGTCAAGTTTTGTCAGTCATGCCCCTTAGGCAAGAGTACTAGATTACCTTTCAGTAGCTCGGAGTCTGTTTCCCAATTCCCTTTACAACTTTTGCATTCTGATGTTTGGTGTTCTCCCGTTAATTCAGTTGAAGGTTTTCGCTATTATGTGTTATTTGTGGATGACTATTCTCGGTATTCTTGGGTGTTTCCAATGAAAACTAAAAATGAGGTCTTTGAAATCTTTGTGAAATTTAAAGCACAGGTTGAAAATCGGTTTAACAGTTCTATCAAAACTCTTCAATGTGATGAAGGTGGTGAGTATAAAAGTCATGTCTTTCAAAAATATCTTGCCACTCATGGTATTTCACAGAGATTTTCGTGTCCCAAACACCCTGAACAAAATGGTATTGCCGAAAGAAAACATCGTCACATTATTGAAACTAGTATTGTCATGCTTTCTAATGCATGATTCCAAATAAATACTGGGTAGATGCTTGTTTAACAGCTACTTATTTAATCAATAGATTGCCAAGTCGTGCCTTGTCCCAAAAGTCTCCCTATGAACATTTGTATGCCAAAATTCCAAAGTATGAAACTCTTAAAGTGTTTGGTTGTCAATGTTATCCTTGGTTAGTGCCTTATGCACAAAATAAACTCCAACAAAAGTCCAAACCATGTGTGTTTTTAGGTTACTCACTGAATCATCAAGGGTACAAATGCTTAGACTTGTCCACGAGACGAATATATCTGTCTCGCCATGTCCTATTCGATGAGGACACTTTTCCATTTAAGGAACTCACATCTTCCCTGGGGAGCGTTGGTGACACAGGTAGTATAACTTCCCCTGACTTATTATTTACGTTTCCGCTTTTGTCTCCATCACCACAGGCCACTTTGTTACTCCCTAGTCAGCCTTCCCCGTCCCTCCCCCAACCAACTCACATCACCTCTGATATTCCTCACTCAAATAACCTACTCCCACCTCCTCCTTTACCAACTCCACGTGATACACCAGTCCCAATGCCGTTAGAACCCTCTAGGTCTACCAACCCATCTTCAAATGAGCAAGAGGCGGTACCATTTCCTGAAATGAACCAATCCGTGTCCGTTGATGATCCCGGTACTACTTTCTCCACCCAACAGCCTGTGCAACCCGCAAGAATGACTACTCGTTCATAGTCTGGCATTCAAAAACGTAATCCCAAATACGCCTTGCATGTTCATATTAATCCTTCTCTTGTTGAACCAACCTGTTTTAGTCAGGCCATTAAGCATCAGGAATGGAGGAATGCCATGGTTCAAGAGTTCAATGCATTACAGCGGTGTGGTACCTAGAAGCTTGTTCCGTATCATTCACGAATGAACTTGTTGCCTAACAAATGGGTGTTCAAGCTTAAACAACGTGCAGATGGCTCGGTTGAACGGCATAAGGCGAGACTGGTTGCAAATGGCTTTCATCAAAAGGCTGGCATTGATTATACAGAAACATTTAGTCCCGTGGTGAAGCACAGTACTATAAGGCTTGTTCTTAGTCTTACGGTTTCAAACCGATGGCCCATCAGACAGTTGGATGTACAGAATGCGTTCTTGCATGGTTTTTTGAATGAGGATGTGTATATGCGGCAACCAGCTGGTTTTGTTGATCCGCAGTATCCTAACTATGTTTGCAAATTGCAAATGAGTATCTATGGCTTGAAACAAGCTCCTCGAGCTTGGTTTCATAGGTTCTCGGAGTTTTTACTCCAATTAGGGTTTCAAGCTTCCACTTGTGATTATAGTTTGTTTGTTTATAATCACAGGGGTGTTTACTTGATCCTTTTGATATATGTGGATGATATTTTGTTGACAGGAAATAGCTCCTAGCAAATGAATAGCTTAATCAAAAAGCTGGGCACTTTGTTTTCCATGAAGGATTTGGGTCCATTACATTATTTTCTTGGAGTTGAAGTCAAATATGTGGATGATAAGATGCATTTGAGTCAAGCTAAGTATGCCTTGGATTTGTTGCAGCGTACCAAATTCGTGGATGCCAAACCAATTTCAACTCCAGTTTCTTGTGGCCAGAAATTGAGTGCTTATGATGGTGAGGCACATGACAGTCCAGACTTATATCGAAGTGTTGTTGGCGCACTACAATATCTTACCATCACCAGACCCGATCTTTCGTACGCTGTGAACCAGGTTTGTCAGTTCATGCACTCTCCAAAGACTACACATTGGACGGCAGTCAAGAGGATCCTTCGTTATGTTAAGGCCACGTACAATCATGGTCTTCTGTACAAACCTGGTGATACACATCTCACGGCATTTTCAAATGCTGATTATGCTGGGAATCCTGACACTCGGCATTCCACTGGCGGTTTCTGCATTTACTTAGGCTCCAATCTTGTGTCCTGGAGTTCTAAGAAACAAAAAACGGTGTCTCGCTCGAGTTCGGAAGCTGAGTATAGGCAGCTGGCTTACACCGCTGCAGAACTATCATGGCTGCGGTCACTTTTTCGTGATTTGCAGCTCCATCTTGTATGTCCAACGATTTGGTGTGACAATATCTCGTCTATTGCCTTAGCTTCGAATCCCGTGTTTCATTCGAGAACGAAGCATTTGGAAGTTGATTATCATTATGTTCGTGAGAAGGTGGTTCGTGGTCAGCTAATGGTGAATTATATTTGTTCCCAAGATCAGACAGCTGATTTGTTCACTAAAGGCTTGTCTACGACGCGTTTCAAACTTCTAGTCTCCAAGCTTCCAGTTGTATCTCCTCCTGTCAGCTTGCGGGGGGATGTTAGACCAAGTCATAGTCCGCGTGTCGTCTCAAGAGTTCGTGATCAAGTTAAACGTTTATCCACCAAGAGTTAGTTTAGGTTAAGACTCTTTCTGATATTCTTTTCCGTGTAAATCCAAGTCTGATCTTTCTGTTGTATTTTTTATTTTCAAATATCCTTGTAAATAGGGATTTCAGTTCCCTGATGTAATCTGGAATGTAGTATAAATACATGCAGCCCATCACTGATTGGGTATGCAATTAAAGTGAAACTGTGAGTGTTCGTAAGTTTTCAATAATTACATTTAAATCCTCTAAGTATTTATACGAGGTCTAAATACGAGGCCCTAAATATGGTATAAACACAATCCATCTGGCTCTTTTCTTCCATTGCTCCATTGCGACCATTGGAAGTTGATCTCTAACTAAACATACGTCTAGCTTTATGGTTGTTACTACAAATTCCTCACCCAGGGCTTGACTGTGACTTTCCTTTCTGCTGTTTGTGACACTTTTGGTTTACTTTAGGAATGCTTTTCATCCTTTTGAAAAAAGAGGACACAAGCGTTTGCGGATTCTAGCTCAAAGGTAGTGTACTTTTGTATCCATAGTTATGATAAGAGTTCGATGTTGACGTTTTTAGAAATTGTAGGACAGAATCATGAAACCATTTTTTTTTATGTTTTACTTTCATTATTGTATGTTACTTGCCATTTAACTTGTTAACATGTGACCTCCGTTTTCTTTTATATTGCTCTCAATGTGGATTGCGTTATTAATCATTTGGTTTCTTAGTTGCTTGAATGCTGGAAGGTGAAGGAAATTAATTACCATTTAATAAATACTTTTTACTAGTAAATACCGTGCACTGGTCACTAATGATTATAGATACATACTACATAATCTGGTTTTAGTACAGTGGAGGATAGATCAGAGAGAGATCCAAGTAGGGTTGTAGTCTGGTGATGGCTTGGTCAAGCCATGATGGTTCATGCAATGAGAAGAGAAGTTCATACATCGGGTTGAACTGTGTTGGCTCGACTCATATGTGATCTGCGTGTGACAAACACATGGTAAGCCCCCATTGCCAGAAAGACTGCAAATGCTAAACCGCACACAATGCCAGCAACCCCAGCAGCTCCGTATCCTGTACCGCCATTCTGTGATGTAGAGTATTTGCTCTCGTGTGCTTCTGTTGCTTGCACTTGAGCTGCCACATGCAATGGTGAGCAACTGGATGTAACACATGGGTCTTTGGAAATGGGGTTTTGCGACGTTGGATTGAAGAAATCATATTGTGACGGTGAAATTGCCGTTGGGTTTGCTCTGGCAAGGCCGTGGGGGGCTCTCTCATCAGCAAAAGCAACGGAGAGAAGGGTCAGAGAAGAGAAGAAGAGAAAGATGGAAACCCTTGAAGGCATTTTTTCAGACTTGCTAATGAAGTAGTAGTTGTAGTAGTTAGTGTTTTCCTATGATACTTGTGGGTGCTTTAGTGTGGCTTTTATAAGATCCTAGGAGGGAGTGGTGGTTGCTTGGACTAGAATTTTGGTTATGAAAAAGAGGTCCGGGAGGGAACAGAATGATGGTGGTGACATGGTGGTGTACTCTATTGATCTTCCCCATCCCCTAATAAAAATGTCTAAATTCTAGAAATACTTTTCAAGGTCAATTTCGTTGCATTTTTTTTTAGACTAATCTATCCGAGTTCTTGACCTAACTAATCACTAGGTCCTCTGCTTGACCCAACAACACTTGGGGAGCGAGAAACTCTAGCATTTGCTTGGTTGGTACCGTGGGAGAAAATCGAAGCCCATACCACTTGAGAGCAAACCAAGGACTTGACCGCTAGACCAACAACTCTTAGGTTTGTTGCATATTTTATGAAGCATTATACCGTTGAGAAGTTGCATTTAGCATGCCAGTTTGGTTGGATATGTGTGACCTATAGTAGTAGCGGGTATGATTGTCATTTAAATTTGTTGACAACCTTATTACCTTCACTAGTTACTACTGTAGGCTATTGATCTCGTTTTTCCTCCACCTGAGTGCCTTAATTTTACACATGAGTGGGGACGTGGAATATAATTAATCTTCTCCAAACCTTTATATCCTTACTCAATTGATAGGTTTTCACAATCATTTGAACACACTAATTAAATTCATGGTTGTCACATGCAAACCACTTTTCTCACCCCATCTCATTCATTATTTTCTGTTTAGGTTTCCGAAGGCTTCCTTCTATCTTTTAAGAGCATCCCTAATGAGAGAAGCCAAATCTTTCGAAATGAACGGTTTGGATGTTTTGTTGGTAAGTTCTCCAATGGACGAGATGTAAAACACTTATTGGCCGGACAATGTAAGTAAAAATAAAAATGTCATTCTTACCATATTTGTATCATCTCTTTAATAGAAATGAGACTCACATGTGTTGGTGGGTCTTACTTCTACTAGATGAATGATACAAATAGATGGTAAGTGTAACATTACTCAAGTAAAAATATAAATTCTTTTTTTTTTCAATTTTTAGGAGTTGTGCCCCGCCATTGAGTAAAACATATATTTTTATATCTCATAAATGTAAAATGAGATGTATATGTGGAGAGATTTTTTAATGTGCCCGGAACATGGTTATTTAGGCCATATGTAATTATATAAGTTGAGAAAATAAAATTTCTATTGTCGCTTCACTTATATAATGACATATGATTTTATATCTCGCACACTGAAAAATCTCTCGCACATGTGGTTTTATATCTCTGATTTGTATACCTCTATCAAAGATGCTATGAGAAGGGGAGTTGAATACGGAATTTCAAGTACAAAAATATTTTTTCTTAATCAAGTTTAACGTCTAGTTTAATTATCATTACATAAAAAAGAAAAAGTTCATTTGAAGTGTTCTTGTAATACAGTACAAGTGCAATTATACATGCATTGGAAACAAGCGTGGATGTGGTTTTATGAAGGTTTCTTAGATAGAAGTGGATTGTCTGCTCTCCTATTTCCATACTTTTTATATTCTCTTCTGTTTTGTGTGATCATGGTTAAGTTACGTCAACATTTTATAATTCTATTATTTTTTGTTTTATTATTTTTATAAAAAAAATCAATATAAAATATTAACGTAGCTTAACTGTAACCACACAAATAAGAAAGAATGAGAAGAGTATGAAAATAAGAGCGCAGACAATCGACCTCCTTCTTGGATTGGAGGGACAGAAAAGGCGACGTCCGTGTTTATCCATTTCATGATGTGTATAATTGTAATCATAATGGGCAGCCAAGCTTTGTGTGCGTGTCACCGGCCTTGATATTTGACATTATTGCACATGTTTAAACGCATGCCATTGCCAATTTCACTAACCTCAAATAAATATATGTCCTTTCTCCCTCACCCTCGAGAGATTTTTTCAGTATGATCGAAATACGAAGTGATACACCACATGTCATTATACAAATAATGAGATATGTGTGTTTAAAATTAATAACTTAAAAACTAAAATTTCTCACAACTTATATAAAAACACGTGATATATCATTTACATTCCGATCACAATGAAAATTTTCTCCTTACCTCCACTCTAACATTACAATCATGACTCATCACACCCTTCAAAGCTTTATGTTCAACTCTCTCTCTCTCTCTCTCTCTCTCTCTCTCTATGACACAGTGGCACTGAGGCTTCACCTAATGCATACACAAGATCCTTGTTAATTGGTTCAGGGCATCACATGTTTGAGCAATGCACCTTCCAAATCACAAGAGTTTGATTGTATGTGATAAACATCTCATTCTGTTGCCTACTTCAAACATGTCTTTGTTTTTGTGTTTTGTAAGCAAAATACTTAAGATATCACTAGTTTAAATCCTTCCAACATTGGGCATTGAACATCAATAGCACTCGTTTGGTGTTTAAAAATTACGTGGATAGATCGATTAGTAAAATTCAAGGTATATTAGAGGTAGAGATGGATGATTTTTGATGAGTAGATTTTATATTATATATTTTACCCTAATCTTAGTATATTTTGGTTAATATTCTGGAAGAATTTTGATACTTTGAATTGTATTTTCAATATAGGACTTTCGACTTCCTCTGGAGCAAAACAGGACCAAATGGACGAATTTTGGAGTAATTCCAGTTGGAGGACGTTCGTAGCTTAATCGTATAAAAATTTGGGATTTTTCCACCAAGCGGTTATTTTCTAGCGATAAAATAAAGGAGCAATGCGCAGTGTTGGAAAATGACATTTTTGGGCTCAAATTACGTTTTTGGAGCGCAAGATGACCTCGGATGGGTTCGTGGCCTTCTGAAGAAGTGTTCAGAATATTCCAAACATTAAATCCAGCTATATTGGGCCAGTTTTGGAGCAGCTTATGGGTCCAAAACGTGGCTGTTCAGATTTTGGGCGAATGTTACCATTTAATTTAGGGTTATGTTTCCTTTTTTATTTGGATTAGGGTTTGTGTGGAGGCTGAGCAGATATATTGCTTGGCCGTCTACCAAATTTTTTTGGGGGACGTTTTTCTTTTATGCAATTTTGGAGACAGAGAGCATTGTGAGGGTTTTAGAGACTTTTTACTTGAAGGTGCCTTCAATCCTTTTCTTGAATATATTTTCTATGATTTTAATTATGAGTATGCGGAACTAGTTTCTTTTGCTAGGGCGAAGCCTTGAGCCTTAGCATGAATATGTGATTTTTATTTAACTGCTTATGATTGATTGCATGCATACTTTGAATTGTTAATCACCGGGATATAAACTATCTAATTGTCTTAATGCCTAATCACCATTAGGATCTTTAGAAAAATAATTTGATGCAATTTTGGTCGGAAGGTTCCCTGAAATTGATGTTGGCTTCTTGTGATTAATAATTGTAATTTCACTTAGGATGAATATCACGTCTTAAGGATTGCATGGTATTTCAAAGGATTTTCATAAAGCATAATGAGTCTTTCATGTTCAGATTTGATCCGAACGTCCGGACGGGTTGCATGTTAGATATACGTTCTATGTTGGAGGTTCCAAGTAGAATATGAATTAGGAAAATCTAACCTTCAAAGTGGCATGTGTAGATCATAAGTAATTGGTAAAAATTCATAGGATTGCTAGGTGATGGTGGAACCCTAGTGCTTTTTTAATTTGATTCTCCCAACACTGTTTTCTTTTCTCTCTAGTTCTAATATTGCAGATTGTTTATTTTAAGTCGTTAATTTCGTTTTATTTTAATTAGGTTATAAAATCAATCACCTCAATTTCTACTTTACAATAATTAAATGGAATCTTATTAGTTTCAAATTATTTAATAATCCATGTGGAGACGACCTTGCGAGGTCCGTTTATACTACAATAACCTTGTGATTCTTGCAAGTAAAATAGGAAATTTAAGCCCGTTCACATGAGTAGTAAAAATTCTATCAATTTTTCATTTAAAACGGTTTGGACATGAAGAGACATATGTCTACTAATCTTACTATTTTTTGTTATGGAGAAGGGATTGGAATGTAAATGTTTTCTTAATGAATAATCTACTTTCTATCTTCAAGTTCGATTCAATTGTTTCATTTCTTCCTTAGGCGTCCCTTTAATATAGTGGACGGGTTATCCATCCCAATTCAATCCTAGACACGAGACTTTATTCTTTGGGACAACAACTCATGTCCCAAATGATGTAGCAACAGTTCATTTGTTTACAATTGGGCCTACTATAAAACTCGTTTATTGGCATACAGTACGAAAATGTTATGTGATATGACACGTCAGTTGGTCTTGTACAAAATTAGATCAACGAGGTGGGCCAAAGGCCAATGAAGCCCAAGGAGGATAAGGCTCCAAGCCCTTGGCTGGTGCTGTTCTCCCTACTTTGGAGTCATCAAAGTAGTCCGGTAGAGTCCCCCTACATCCTTCCTGCAGCACTCCTCAAGGGAGACTTTGGTAGAGAGCCGGAGGATGAGCGTGAGTAACGCCACAATGCGATCATCAGGAGCATGGAAGAGATCAAGCCCTCGGCCAAGCAACGGCCATGAATGACTGACACTTTACTAACAATGCTGGTAGAGGTGGTTCAAAAAATCGAAAACCGAAAAAAAAATCGGACCAAACACTGAACCGAAACCGAAAACCGAAAGAAAAAAAAAACCAAACCGAACCGAACGGAGTCCCTTTACACTTTATGAATGTATGCCCATTTTTGTGAAACTTTTGTTGCCAAGTTTGAAACTAAGTCTATGGCTTTTTCAAGGAGCATACTTGGTTCAATTAGGGAGGATATTTCATTGATTATAGAGGAAAGTTTTGGATGGCTTTGAAACTTTGAAAAGCTTCTCTAATTGTTTGTTTTTTGAATGAAAACGGTGATCAATTTTTCTTTGCAATTGAGGCTGTTGATAGCATAGAATTGGTTTATATGATCTTGTATATGTACAACTACCTTCCCACTTTCCCCATTTTGTTATTATTAGTCTACCAACGTAAGCATTTATTCTAAATTCCATATTAAAAAAATGATCAAATTTTATAAAATTAAAAAAAAAACCGAAACCAAACTGAATAAAACCAAACCGAACCGAATAAAAACTGAAAGAAAAATGACTTTCACGAGACAATGCGGGATTTCGAAAATCTTTTAGAGGACATGGCAACATTTAAACCCATTCCATACGAATCATGATGACGGACCTTGACTTCAAATTCATTGAGCTCGGCTCGGTATGTGAAGCATGAACTCTGGCCTAAAGAAGCTTTCAAAATAGCGAATGCCCATCAATGTTATGTTTCATGTATAAACACCAAACTTTTCTACACAATTTTTTTATTAGAGTAAATTTTAAGGGAGCTTTCATGAAAAAAGTTTGGGCTAAATTTTTTTTAATAAAAAACCATGCTATAAATTTATTTAATGAAAAAGACTTAGATTTTAATGAAAAATTCTTAAATTTTAATAAAAATGACAAAATAACTTAAATTTTAATGAAAAAGACATCATTTTAATATTAAAAAAATAAATAAAAAATAAAAATTGACTCGCAAACCTATGCGTCCTCATACAAACAGTTTATGAAACTTAGTACATTGTTTATGAAACTTACTATACTGTACTATTTGTGAAACTTTCTACACTAATTATGAAACTTAACGGTACTACACTGTTTATGAAATTTAACGATAAATGAAGATTAATTATAGAGTAGTTATATAATAATATATGTGTAAAAACAATATAAAATTCCTAATCCTACTTTTGTGTATATAATCTACAAGGGACAAATTTGACTAAATTCATGCACAAGCAGTAGTCTAATACATATACGAAGAAAATATTGGAAAATATAAAATTGTTAGAGAGAAAGAGGAGGGGCATTGTTGTCAGGGAGAGTAGTTGATGGAGGAGAAGGAGATGAAGAATAATGAGGCGATGATGAAATATTGCACGCGCTTTACTTAGGTATTTTTTTGTTTTTTTGTTTTTCATTATCTTGTCTTTATCATTAAATAAAGTTATAACATAACTTTTGG